TGTATTATTTCATTAACAAATATATATGTAGACGGATCCAAGAGAAGGGGGTGAGGGAGAGGGAGGGGAATGGGAGACGGGGCACTTTGGCAGTTTTTTAGCCACCTGGAGGTTCTACGATGTTTTTGATTAGACGCATCACCATTTCGTCTTCAAACGCTGTCATTTTCACGTTTTCCATGCAGGCATTGGATATATTCCATTAAAAATGAGGTTTAGATTTTGAAATTACCGATCCAAGCTTTTTGTTACATGTTTCTAGACTTCATCCTGTTTCCCCGCAACTGGAATCGTGCTTGAAACGTCTGGAGAACTTGGGCATTGATCACAATATTGAGGATAAGTTAACACGATTCGAAAATATCATAACCAAAATGCATGATTTTCGTACCAGGTAAGCAGTTTCGAAAATCTCTAATGAAGTGTTGGTATTGAAAATGTGTGGTACCGCGCTTATTTCGAATATTTTTGCTTAAAAATAAAATAATTATTTTTTCGATGGTTTGGCGGTCTATTATTAAGATGATAAGTAATGCTGACGCTGCTGGATTTGAGTTTTTCTAATCCCTCATTTTACGAAAGGGTTTCTAAATAGAAATATGGAAAGTAGAATAAAAGGATTGGACTTAGGTGTCATGTATAAGAAGGCATTTTACGATGAAGTCTCTGTGTTTCATCCCTTAGCTGTAAGTACAGACCGAATTAGGCGTGCGGGTAGGAGCGGGAATCATCAGTACAGCCTCTTAATGGAGTTGTTAATCTTCCTTAATTGCAAATAATAAATATTTTATCATTTTATCAGTTCCAAATCACAGCTTCTGTCGTTGGCATATGTAGTAGTAGTAGCCTGTACCATAAATTCCAGTTTTAGTTTTTACTGGAATAATAAGAAATAATGAGAAGAAAAAGCCAGGAAATCGAAGCGGTTTCCCAGGTTTGGATAAAAATCGAAGGGTATAGTATAGTTGCGCGAAGTTTGTGAGACCGTCGATATGAATCTTTGCACAGATTGCCTGGATAGCCTTGGTACTTTTGATAGGTTTTTGGTAAAAATTAGAATCGAAGGTCTTAGCGATTTTAAAATTTGATCGAGAACGACGATTTTTATTCAGCTTTTTGAATCTTTCTTTATTTTCGATGTGTAAATATTGAATCAGTTCAAAAATGTTTAGCCTGGGTGCTGCTTATGCCAGTGAAAACAATGGTACCATCGATCTGATTGGATCGAAAGTGAAATTACGAAAATTTGACCTAAGTAATGGTCAAAAAGCGACATGCGTAAAGGTTTGTTTTTGGGAATTTTTGCTTTTTTTAAATCTCCAAATTCTTTTGTAGCTCATCTTTGTAGTGCTGAAAAACTGAGGATCCATTTAAATGTATACCGCCGGATTCTGAAGTATTGTGTTTGTTAAGGTAAATCAGTTCAAAAGCCAAAACTCCTTTTGTATTTGCTTTTTATGAGAGACAAAGCAACCACTCACTGGCAAGACTGTCGATGGCTCCTTCTTTCAAGAGTTGCTTGGAAGCAAACTGGTGGCAGGTTTGACTCTTTGGCATATGTCAGTACCAATTTACCATCAAAACGAATGAATGAATCATGGAAAGGATGGTTTTCCGACCGGCAAAGTCGACTTACTGCTTGACAACGGTACTTTCAATGGCGCCAAGCCCATCAATCCTGATGTGAATAGTACGAAATAGGGGATTTAGCATAGCTGTCTTCAGCGTCTGGATGCTAACGAGCCTCTTCAAGGAATCTGTTTAATTTTTAACAAGTGAAAATGTTAGTTTTTTAGGCGACCACTACGGATAATAAGGTTATTTTTGAATGGAAGAATATTTTCGGCAATGGTACAGCATTAACGCCAAATTTTGCTGGTTTCTCAGAGCTACCGGAAGCACGAGACACGCTGGAATGCGTGCTATCCACGTCGGGATTCTCGAGTCTCGGGATCGATCGCACATTTGCTGGTCAGTTTTGTGTCCTCGATTATCGATTTTATGAAACTCTAAGTTTTTTTCTTTTTTCTCAGGAAAATGGGTTTTTATGGAGAAGAGCGAGATCTAGAAAATCAATTCGATTTCAGGTGGGTTTTACGGAAAAGGGCCTTTCTTTAGAATTTTTACGGGAAAGGGCCTTTCTTCGGTTAGCATTCTTATGGACTGAAATCGTTATTTTCAGGGCAGATTTACCACCTTCGAGTAGCACTTTTCTGAAAAAAGATCCTTATTTTATAGCAAATTTTCCACTTTTCCTATGCCCAATGCAATGCGGTCGAGAATTTCTGTGGTTGTCTAAAAAATATTCAGCATTCACCACTGCCCCTGATATTTGACCACTGTCCATTAGCTGACCATTGGCCACTAGCTGACCACTGATCACCAGCTGACCACTGATCACCGGCTAATCCCTGACCGCTAGCTGACCACTGTATTAGCCATTGATAATTGCGATAATTTGCGATATTTTAGTTCGTTCGTCTGCTTGTGGTGTGATGCTCTCCGAGTTGTTGACGCACAAAAAAGAGCGTTATTCGAAACGGCAGCAGTTGCATCCGGTGATCTATTCGGGCAGCTCATCCGCTCTTTCATCCTCATCTGTAACGCAGCTTCCCTCACCACGTGTTGGCTCACGTCTTATCTGCCATTTGCATGAGCATAAGGCACCTATCAACAGGTCTCAGCTTTTATATATTGTACATTTTTTACAGTTAATTTTCCAGGAAGTTTGCCATAGTGTGAGTTGAGAAGATGAAAAACAAGTACAAGAGCTGTTTTGTTAGTTTGTTGAATTGGAGATTTTATCTGTAGGGTGAGGGCAGATACCATAAATCTTTAAAATTCTTAATGAATCAAATAAAATGGAGAGTTTTATTGAGTTCTTTTTTTTTATTATTTTTTGATAAGAGGATTTCATTCCTTTTTCTAGTTTTTTTAAAAAATTATGAGTTATGTGAATTGTAAAATTTTATAAATAGGATAAGAACAAGTGCTATAAATTTATGGATCCTTTCATAAGTCAAATAAAGTTGAGAGTTTTATTGAGTTTTTTTTTCTTATTATTTTTTGATAAGAGGATTTCAGTCTTTTTTTTCTTGTTTTTTTATGCGTTTTTGCCGTGCAGCGCTAGAGCGCTGCAACAGGCAGCAAAAACGCATATT